CGACGCGGGGCTCGAACTCATGGACCGCGAGATCGTGACCTGGCTGAAGTCGGACGCTTAACCGACTGCGCCACCCAGGCGCCCCCTGAATTTTTAAATATATAAACACAAAGCTTGCACAGAAATGTCAGCTCTCCAGAAGTTGAAACAGAGGTGAAAACATTCAAACAAAAGAAAAATTAGCCATCTATATCCAAAAGGCCAAGTAATAAGATTAGCAAGTAGCTGGTAACTGAGAAGAGCCATAAATCCCTCAGTTCTCCTGTTTCCACACCACCGTGGCAGGGGTATCCGTCCGTCACTGCACCTCTGGTCCGGATGGATGTGCCCGTCCAATTCCTTACCTCGTGGCGGTCACTGGCTGGGGTGTGTGAAGGCCGTGCTTCTTCATCTAGTGGCTCAATCTCTGCAAACTCTTCCACAGATTCTTGAAACTCAGGCAAGGACCTTCGTCCGTAACGCTTCCCACCTTTAACATATTTGGGCTGAGCTTCTAGTGAACAGTCTAGGCAGGGAGACAAGAGTTGAGGCCACATTACATGACAGTCTCAGCCCTTAGCTGACACTCACAGCTGTCAGACACAGCCTCTTATACTAGCCCCCAAAATAAACCACCACTGTTTGCCAGTTGTGCGGGGATGTGGGCGTATATGAGGCGCCAGGTCAGACGCAGAGCACAGCTTCTAATTCTGAATGACTGACAGCAGCCGGAGCGCATCTCTGCATACAACGGGAGAGATGCAATGCCAGCAGAAGCGTCTGACTTTAGAAGTACAGAATTAAGATCAGGATAAAGCAAGGAGTCATATTTGTTCTTGTGTTTATTAAGCTGGTGTCTTGCAGGGAGGGGAAAAGGGAGAGGGGGAGATCGTACTGACAAAGAGACGCGCTAGAGGAAGTCTTGGAAAATAATGATAAAGCGAACACCATATCAGCACTGTTAGTATTCACGCACCCCTCCTGTACCTCAGTGACTCCTTTGTTAACCATCCCACCTTCTGATCCATCAGACAAGCGGGATGACAGAACAAAGAAACTGACACAGTAGATCCTAATAAATGAATGACAGCTCATCGCTTACATGAAACCTGGCATCAAGATCGCATTATAAAATTAAAAGCTGTAGAATAAAATAGTAAAGGCAAAACTGTATACTGAAAAATGGTACATTTTGTTTTTATTCTCTTCATGAGTTTGGTGTTGTACAAAACAAAATGGAATGCGCCTCACAGGAGGGTTATTTCTTGACCTTAAAGAAGGACCTCAGCATTTTGATGTAACATGTCTCAGGTTCAATGTTTCACCATGTTCACGACCACCAATGCCACCACCGCCATCACTACCACTGCCACCGCCATTGCCGCCACCGCCATCCCCACCACCGCCACCACCGCCACCGCCATCGCTGCCATTGCCGCCACCCCACACTAACCTTTCTCTACAACGGATGGCTTTAAAGCAATAGAATAAATACTTCACTCAATGCACGTGTCATCTTAGATACAGAGATTTTTTAGCACCTTGCACAGAATTAGGAGCATAAAATATTCTATTAAAATACAAAAGATCAGCAAGGCGTTGATTTCAGTTCTTATCCGCAAAGGCACGGTGTCTGAGAACATAACGTGTATTCTATTTGAACACGACAGTCTTAACAAGATGTGTCTCAACTCACACATGGAGATTTTCGGATGAGGTTATGTACACACATCATCAAAACCAGGGTGGTCAATTAGATAAGAACTGAAAGAACAAAACCCCTCCTTTACCACCACTGAAACCACATGAGGGGTTAAGCCATTACTTTGTAGCCTCCCTGGGAAGGTCGGCGATCCTGTGTGACTAACTCTGCCCTTCCCCGCACCCCCATGCCCTTCCTCTGATATACGCTCAGATTTCACGGATGTGGTCCGAAGCATTCTGAAAATGCTCAGCACAGCTCAGAGTGAAGTATTTATGCTTGCTCTATAATTTCTAGTGATATTTATATCCAGCTTTTAAAAAGTCCCAGCCAAGTCATTGTATTCGGTGGAGCGATTCTCTTACAGGAAGAGTTTAAGCATACACAATTTAGATTGAAAATCACATGCACATTTGAAGGTACCTTTCATCAGGAGAGAGTGTGTCAGCCTGTGAGTATTCAGGAGCGGCCCAGACACCCGAGCTACTTGTTGGCAGCTGACACCCACAGATGCTAGTCAGATAAAGAGGCAATGTAGAACCATCCTTAATTTATTACACATTCTTAAGTTTTACTGGCAGACAACAAGGTACACCGTTAGTGACGATGGGGGTGGGGGTGGGGTTGGAAAAGATTAAAAGAAAAACTGACAACGTCAGAAAACGGAACATGACGTGTTCCCAGTGTGAGAACAGTCGTGGTCTGGGGATGGAAATGGCAAAGGAGCTCTCACTGCGCGCTGCACTTTTACGGAGGAAAAGAGTAAAGGGACAAAGCAGCCATCTTAAAAAACCTACTGTAATTGACTCCAAAACCTGCCTGTGGATGAGATGGTCTCCCAGTTATGTACCACTAAATATCCCATGCCCTGCAGGGATATGAATAAGGAAGAGAACTAATGGATTATGGGCCATTAGATACCCTGGGAGATTTGGGTTTATTTTACTTATTTTTGCATTGCCAAGAGTTTTTAAAGTTTTCTATTTATATTTTATTATTATAATTGTGAACAAGCTTTTAGTATCTTTAGCAGAATGTAAATATATCACAAAGTCAATTTCTAGCGAAATCTAGTCAAGTATACACTCTTCTTCGGAATAAAGAGGTTAGCACAAAGGAAAAAATGGAGTGTTAATGTTACCTCACACTGCATTTCCCAAACCTTCTATGTGACCAATAAAGAATTAGACTAACTGAACCAATTACAGTGACTTCTTTGACTTACACACTCACATATTTCTCTCCTTAGAGCATGAGCATCATTGTACTTACATGATAAGAAGTGAAGAAAGACAGCAAAAGTAAGGAGGTCCAGAGAGAACATTCATGGTCAACAGTCATTACTGTGTTAAACATTTGAAAACTATGATTTTCCTTATCAACTCAACCAGGCCTTTAAAAGGCCACAGCAACAGTCCACCAAATGGATTTTAAGACACTCTTACACCCCATAATTAAAGAAGGTCCAACCCCATCCTTACGCCCAACAGAGACTTAGAAAACTGCAGCCCTGGGGCAAAGTTGATGCATTTTACGAACACATCCAGATGTAACTTAACACATGTCAGGGTTTCACTGTAGAACAATTTTAGTTATGCCAGATAATATGGGGCGTCTGGGTGTCTCAGTCAGTTAAGCTCCCGACTCTTGGTTTCGGCTCAGGTCATGATCTCAGGGTTCCTGAGATGGAGCCCCCCAATCATGCTCTGCCCCGGCAGGACGGTGCCTGCTTGGGGTTCCCTCCACCCCCCTCTCTCTCTGCCCTCCCCCTCTTGCATATTCTCTCTCTCAAAATAAATAAATAAACTTAAAAACAGAAATGAAATTGCTTACATCATATAGATTTCTTTAACATAAGTGTAAATGACTGCTCCAATCACGTGCTCCAAGGAGGGCTAGGAAATGCCAGTGATACAAACTATAAAGGACTGCCAAACTTGCAGTGTTTTCTTTCTTTGAACATTTATTTATGATTTTACCCAGATGCCAAGCTTCGGAGTCATTTTTGCTTCTTTCAGTTTTCTATTTCTCCTATTTGACAAAAATAAAAATAAGCTTTCAAGGAAAGAGGACAAGCTGAGCCTGCCTAGAGGTGCCTTGGACCCCATCCTCAGAGAATTTATTATGAAACTCACCAGTCATAGTAAAGTGGCTTTGAAGCAGTCCTACCTGACTTGGTTTAGATGATTCAGGTTTGATTCCATAAACCAAACACATGGTTATGAGTAGGGGACAACAGAGAAATCTTGATTCAATCCCCTAAACACTGCTAGAGGAATATGGAAGCAACTGATAGTCTCTACAGAGCAGATGGGGTGGGAAGGGGAATCTCAATGGGAGTTCAAAAGACGAAGGAAATACCGTTCCTTCCAGTCTCAGAAATCAAACAACTGGATGGTCAGACATCACATTCTTTACTCCAGATCTCATCTGTCCCAAGAAGAGACACTCCAGACCTGTGATAATGTCCACCTTCCAGAACCAGGGTGAATCACTGTACACATGTATGACTTGTGACCAGAAGGGCTTGCACTTATAATGAAAGGAAAATTGAAATACAGTGTCAGTGGGAAGGACCACTCAGGGGATAAGCTGGCTGGAGGCAGGGTAAACCTCTGACACTCACCCATTCTCCCCTCTCTCCACTCCCTCTCTGCTTCAACTCCAGCTGAGGAGTACAGAGCACCCTTTCCTGTGGTCCTCAGACTGACTGCAGCCTTCCTGATGTAGGTCTCCACTTGGAAGGCTCAGCTCTCCCCAGGAGCCAAAGGGCAAAACAATGAGGGCCCAAGAGGAAGAGGAAGGGGTGACAGGAAAGCCTAAACACCATGTATTCCATCAATGCTTTCTTTACAAAAACACAAGCTTGGGACCTGGGATGGAGCGCCTTCCTCAGCACTTACACGGAGAAGTTACAGGAGAGTTGCAAAGACACACTCCAATATCAGGTAGATTCTTATAGCTTCTAATTATTGAACACCTGCCATGGGCAAAGTATCATGTTGTATCTGTTGAGGGATAAGACGGATATTTGATCGCTTTTTGATTTAAACCTCCCTGTTCCCAAAACTGACCGAGGATACTTACAGGATGAAGAAGAGAGCTCTGCCTTTTTGGTGCTGATATTCTTATTTTTTTTTTTTAATTTTTTTTTTCAACGTTTATTTATTTTTGGGACAGAGAGAGACAGAGCATGAACGGGGGAGGGGCAGAGAGAGAGGGAGACACAGAATCGGAAACAGGCTCCAGGCTCTGAGCCATCAGCCCAGAGCCTGACGCGGGGCTCGAACTCCCGGACCGCGAGATCGCGACCTGGCTGAAGTCGGACGCTTAACCGACTGCGCCACCCAGGCGCCCCAGATATTCTTATTTTAAAATTGCTTGAAAACACCCTTGCTTTCTACTACTTCCCCTCCTGCCCCATTCTGTTAGGCTGGACAATCGTTCCCACAGACACCGGCACCTTCCAAAGTCAAAGGCCCTCAGCACAGAGTAACGCCAGTCTGAGGCCCTCCATATTACAGTTCTGCTGAGCTCACAGATTCCTGAAACTCATTTAAAAATAAGGAGTCAAAAATGAAGCATGTGCAAATCTCAGGACAAGCACTCCCAAGAAGCTTCCCTGGGAAAGGGCGGTCAGGCAGCTCCCCACTTCCTTGCTCCTGTGAACACCATTATATGCAGACTGCACAGAGTATGACCCCATACTTGATACTAAGTAAGAGAAAAGGGCAGAGAGAGAATTAAAGGGGAGACCAAGACCAAGAGAAGGAGAGGGGGAGAGAAAAAGGGAGAGGTAGAGGGAGGGACAGAAGTATGTGCAG